ACTGACATCTTGCCCTCAAAAGTCAAAATCTCTTGGCTAAGGGACCAAAGGAAAATAAAGAAAAGGGTTTAGGTTTCAGTGCAGCAGGATGAAGAGTTTTAGCAACAGCAAAGATGCTGAGAAATGTGGTTGAAGTAATCCCACTGCTATTTTCAAATTCGGGTTGAATTTACTTAATAGCTCCAGCAAAGGAGAGAGTGAGTTACCAGGCTCCCCAGCCTGGGCAGAGGAGGAAGAGGAGGAGGGGAGGGAGGAAGCAGACAGCTTTAATTAGCAGGAAAATCAGCACAAGCAGGATTTCAGGAGGATGATCAGGAGGGGAACATCCCAAGGATGCAGACCTCTGCCTCCTGGGTCTCCCTGCCCAGGGATACTCCAAGCATCCCATGGTCTTTCTCCAACATCCTCTGGCTTCTTTGTATTGTTGGAATTTCCTCTTGCAGAGGTCCAGCACCCCAGGGGAGAGCTGCAGCCCCTCAGCAAAGCACCCTAGCTCTGGCTTTGCCAAGAGAGGAGCACTTGGGGCCAAGGGGAATGACAGGGAGGCCTCCAGGGCAGCACTCCAAGCACCCCTCTTTTGGGAGCCTGGGGATGGGGGTCACCTCCTCCCACACTGAGGGGATGTGCTGTGGCTTCCTCTTTTCTGTTAAAATGGAAACCAAATGCTTTAGTCCCAAGTGAAAAGGAAGGTTTCACCCATCTAAAAACATCCCCAAAATGTTATGCTCTGGTCAGACATTAGAACAAAGTCTCCTCAGGAATTATCATACACCAGAATAATTTGGGGTGTTTCAGGGCATCTCTGGAACTGGAAAAAAACCCCCACTGGTCACAGGAGCAGCTGATCAGCACAGATATTGGTGGGTGGCAATTGTCCTCCAGGCTCCTCAAAGCCAAGGTTGTGCTCCCACTCCTCAGGCAGATCACCCCGTGTCCAGAGAGTGAAGTGGGGAGACCAGGAAGCAGGTTGGACAACTCAGTACCTGCCTGGCTGGGAGGAAGAGGAAACAATTCTGGTGTTTTCCAACTCTATATTGCATTTGTTCCAATGTCTTGTCTCTTTTTCCACGACAAGGACCCAGATCAGTGTCTTTGGGAGGCTGTTAACCTGAAAGAAAGTGTTCAGCTGGAATCTGGGCTGGATTTTCCCTCACCCAGCTGCTGCTGTGAGCACTCAGGGGTTCAGTGCAGCAGATATTCTTTGATCCAAGCTTTATTTCACTGAGCTGATACTGCTTTTCTACAAAAGTCTGTGCCCACAGAGTCTGTATAGCTTCCTTTACATACACAATAATGAAAAGATGGAAAAATGAGCCTGTGCCAAGAAAGGCATCTTAGCAAACCAGAGCTGCTGCCTGGAGGGTGTATTTAGAAATCAGAGGACGATTTAGGGAAGGAGGCACACAACAGGAGCCAGAAGTGTAACAAAAACTAAGGAGAGTGGGAGTTTCTTTAGGCACTGAGCACCCCCAGGCAGCACCCGTGAGTGCTCAGGCTGACACGACTCTGTCCCCTCCCCAGGGAGCAGCAAAACCCAACCCTCAGGCAGCAGTTTCCATTCACCCATCCCCAGCTGCACTGCAAGAAGAGACAGACTGGTGCAAGGGGCTGAAGTCCAAGGCAGACACCAGGAAAGTGTGGCCACGGGGTCACATCTGTGGCCACAGACCCTCAGTTTGGATCCTGGTGGCTTCTTTATAATCAGCCTGTCAGCTTTGTGGGCACAGCCTGCAGGGTTTGCCCACCCCATCATTTTAGGAGGGGCAGAGGGTCCAAAGCAGTTGTCTTGGTACCAAGAAGTCATCCTGAGCCACACCACACCCACTGCAGCTGGTGAGGCTGGCAGGCACCTCTGGAGATGATCCAACCCAACTTCTCCCTCACACCAGGGTGCTTGGGGCTGCAGCCCATCAAATTCTTGATATATTCAAGGATGGAGATGCTACAACCTCTCTGGGCAACCTGTGCCAGCGTTTGACCCCCTCCTCACAGTAAAAAGGTTTCTTCCTGTGTTGAGAAGAAATTTCCTGCAGCTTGGTTAGTGTCCCTGGGCACCACTGAGCTCAGTCATCTTTACTCCCCCCATCAGGTATCTACCCACATGGGGAAGATCCTCCTGAGCCTTCTCTCCTCCAGGTTCAGCCTCTCCCCATCACCAAAGATCCACTCCCTTCCTCCTCTTCATGGCCCTGCCCTGACTTGCTCTGGTACACTCATGTCCAGCACTCCAGCTGCACCTCACCCCTGCTGGGCAGAGAGCAAGGACCATCTCCCTCAGCCTTCTGGGGACCAACCACAACCCCTTGAGCCTGGAACTTCAGCCAGTCTTCAATCCACCTCACCCTCCACTTTCCTAGCCCATACTTCAGCAATGAGATTTCACAGGGGATGGTATCAAAGGTGTTGCTGAAGCTACAAAAACATCACTGCTTGCTTGGGGTTTGAGGGGAGGCCAATCTCATTGTAGACCATCCAGCTGATGAAGCATTTCTCCTTCATAAATCCATGCTGACTAAACCCAGACACCTTCTTGTCCTCAGCATCTCTGGAAATGGTTTCTAGGAGCCTCTTCTACCTCCCTCCCTGGCATCAAGGTGAAGCTGATGAGCCTGTAGGTCCCCAGATCCTCCTGAAGTGCTATTTGCTTTCCTTCCAGTCCTCAGGAACCTTCTCCAATTGACTTGTGCTTTCAAAGAGTGGCCTCACAACAGCATCAGTCCCCAGCATGCCAGATTGTCACATCTAGATAGCTTGGGGAAACCACAACATTCCAGCCCAGACTTCTGCCTTTGACTAATCCACTGCCCAAAGGGTTTGTATTTGGTTCAAGATTAGCAGCACCATCACCAAGAAGTGGAGTCTCATCTTTATTTTCCTCTCTCAACTGTTCTAACTTAGTAGATGAGAGGGATTTAAACAAAAAAAAAAACCCACCAAAGCCCAAGGATAATGAATTTAGACACCCACAATTACATTTTCAGCAGCTAAGTTATAAAAGAAGAAAGATGAAAATAAAATTTCACAAGTGTGAAGGTTGTCACTGGAGTATTTTTATCTCAAGTGAGTCACAAAGTCTGCATGCCTGCAGCAAGTCCTGAGGTAAAACTCCTGATTTCTGCCATGCTGGCCTCACACTCATCTCCCCCAAAGGAATAAAACCTCTTCCTCTCTGCACAGAGATTTTAAAAACTTTCTCCAGACAAAGCTTTTGGTTTTGTGTGAAAGTTTAATATTCTCAAGTCCATAATGACCACAGTATAAAGATTCAGCCCTAAGTTCTTGTTGTTTTTTTTTTCCCTAAACAGAGTGTGCAGTCAAAGTTCTGCCACCAGCTCAGAAGAGCCAGAGGCATGTTCAGGGCTGATTAAAGTGCAATTCATTAGCAATCCTAAGCCATCCACCTCTTTTCCTGTAGGTATTTCCATCATAGGAGTGTAGAGCTGTAAGCAAGTCACTGAGTTTGAGCTGGTTTGTGGGACCATCATGGGGAGGGTGAATCCTCTGCCTTTGAAACAGAAATGTTTATGATCACAGCTCCTGCTCTGCACACACATTAAGACAAGACAACTTTCACAAGGGTGTTGGTATTTATAGCATCCATAAATCCAGGCAGTGCACTGCAAACACAATATCCAGTTGTAGCTTTAAATAGCAGAGCAGGGGAATGGAATTTTCAGCTATTTCTTGTTTTCTGAGAGCCACAGATGAGATGTATGGCACACGTTAAGGAAGCAGAGGAAAGAAAACAGCTATGAGGCAACAAATCTCCTCTGTGAGTCTCCCTGTTTCAGATGGAATAAGGCTAACCCTCTACCAAAGCACAAAAATCAGTCCCTGAGATTTCACTCCAACACTTAGCCAGGACTAAAAGACAAAGAGCAGATGGTGGAAGGTTTTGACAGATTATTTTTCCAGCAGGTTTTCAGTGGCAAACTAACACCTGCCCTTGACAGGGATTTTGACAAACAAATACACAATGGAATCAAGAGATTAACTTGCCTCTAAACCTTGGCTGATGCTTTTTTTAGTGCTCACAACACCAGATGTACACACAATCTATGAGGAAAAAATAAATCACTGAACACTGCAGGAGCATTGTGACAATGCACCAAGAGATTCTTCCAGAAGGCCAAGTAATAAACTACCAATAAATATTATGAAAACCAGCAACTCTGGGTAAGCTTTCTAAACTTTGATAATTTCTTAGTATTAAGAGTTTGCTTCAATAGTTAAGATTTTCAGCCAAATATTAGAACAGCAGTTAAGGCTTACAACTTAATATTGGGTTCCTGAGGTCAACCAGCTGCCCAGCACTGATGCAAGCAGTTAACAGCTACTGTATTTTTTATTGATTGATTTTTGGAAGGCTTCTTGCATCAGTCTGCACCCTCATTTCCATTTCTCTGCTTCATTAACAAGTTAATTCAGAGTGAGGATGACTCCTGGTGCAAGCAGGAACAACGTGGCTTTTAGAGCTAGGTCAGCCACACCCTCCACTCCATTTTATACTGGATATATTGCATTTTGATTGATATATTGGATATATGATATCAATAACAGCTGGAGGAATTAAAAAAGTGCATTGAATTGCCATTTCAGGAGTATACTGAAATTCTTCTGGACATGTGGGGACTCACAGACACACCAGCCCATGATTCCACAGGAGGAAGATCCATTCTACACCACCACCACTTGGCTCTGCTGACAGACTGACACACATTTCACAAGGAGGGAAAAATTCAGAGCTCTGGAGCTGGAAAGTGGAGCTCTGCACCTACTCTAGGGTAAGTCAAACCCTGTGCCACTGCTGCCTTTCTGCCACGAGGCAAGGAAATGACTCAAGGTGGATGCTCTTCTCCCAAGGAGCTGGCCACCGTGGGCAGAAGTGGTTTGAACAGCTCTCAGGAGGTACTTTGACCATTATTTTGTTGCACTGGCATCTTTCAAAAAGTCAGATGAGCCTCTGCCTGTCTGTTCACAGCAGAGATCCTCTACAGGGCTCATTCACACCCAACTGGTGGGGTTTCCCACGTGTCTTCATCTGCCAAGTGAACCATCTGTGGCGTCTGATCCACGGGTGGCTCCTCACCCTGGGCTATTAATAGTGCATCTCCTCCTCCTCCTCCTCCTGCCAGCTGAAGGTCAGAGCTAGAAGAACAGTTGGATTCCCCAGGTTTGTCCACCAAGGGTTGTGCTGTAGCTGTGGAGGAGGGGTCAGTCTCTGTTTTAGAAGCAAGCCCAAAGAGGTTGTTCTGGATGAGGTACCGAACACACTGCAGAACCACGTTCCTCTCATGTCTGATGTCCTGGGCCAGCAGCTGCAGGGAAAGAAGAGAGGGTGATGAGCCACATTTCCCTCCATCCCCCTGCAGCTCTCACACACTCTGACTGCTGGTGCTTTGGCAGAGCCAGCCAGTGAGCAGGTTTGGCAGCACCACCACCACCCAGCCTGCTGGGCAGGGTGACCAGGGGGGACCTTGCTGTGCCCTCCCTGATCCCTCAATCTCACATTGATCAGACCCTTCATCACTTCAACTCACCAGCCAGGAGAACATGAACCTGGCAATTAGCAGGGGCATGTTCTGGGATGTTTGTGGTATTTGTTTTTAGAGCATGTGTGTCAAAAACTGAATGGGGTCAGCAAAAAGTCTGACATAACAAAGAGGTGGGACCTGGCATCCAGAGAGGAGGCAGCAGGGATGGAGCTGCCCTTTGGGCAACTGCTCAACTCCCAAATGGCCAAATAAAGGCCCAGAGGGGATGCACCATCACCCCCCCCAACTCTGTGATGGATTTTTTAACACAGGGGTGGGTAGCAGTGGAGTGAAGCTCTTGATCTTGCCAGCACACAGAATGGCTGAACACCCATTGCTGCCTGTGGCTACAATTCACATTTTAGCAGCACCCAACCTCACTGCCAAGTGGCTGCCAACAGCCCTCTGCAGCTCTTCCCCTACAAACCCTTTTGGGGTTTTTTTAAAGCATCATTTCACTGATATAATATCCTTCCTTATTCATTCTAATTCTCACTTTTTTGGACAAATTCTTAGCAGGACTTTTTTTTCCCCTACCTGCAAATCTCAGGCACTCCTCTGGGATTCACAGCCACAGTCCCCACCCTTTAACAGCAGTTCTGAGCAACATTAAAAGGCCAAAAAAACCCCACCAAAATAGAATTCTTTAAAATACACTACACTGGCAAGCTACAATTCAGGTCTCCAATGTTCTGCCAGCTTCTCTCAGCATGTGGGACTTCAAGTGACTTTTTTTTTTCCAGAGCCCTCACTGCTTTGATCACCAACAACTTTGAAGAGCAAGAGATAAAGACAACTGCATGCTCAGGGAGCTACACAAAGGGCAAACACTTCCTTTTCAGTCACCAGGAGCTCCAAATCTTGGCAGCAAGGGTAACAAGTGCTAAAAGGACAACCAAGGGATGGGCCTTATCAGGTATCTCCTGCCTAAACATCCTGTGCTGTTGCAGTGCCCTGATGTCCCTGGCACCCTGTTTTCTCCTCTGTTCTGCCCACAGCAGGTTTTCCCCTGCTGAGGGAGCTTTATGCTGGCTATTGATAGAATCACAAGGGTAGCCCACCTACCTGATGCTGCTTTTGAGTAGTGAAGGTAATAAAAGCTTCAGAGTTTTGTTTAAACACCACCAAGCTTCCAAATAGGATGCTCTGCACTGGTACTGAGAACAGAGTTGTAACACCTTGGACTCAGCCCTGCAAACCTCTTCCAATTCTGAGGTACCAACTTGTTCCTCAAGGTACCAGTGCTGTCCCTTCAGCACTGAAACCACCTCAGACTGATCTAAATGTGCCTGCAGAGAAGAATCCTCTGCCTGTGCAGGTTGCAGCTCAACAGCACCCTACAGTTTAAGTCACCAACACCCTTCTCAATAAGATTTCTCTGCATCTGACTAAACCATGTGCTCCTCAGACTGAGGGAGGCAGCTGAAGAGCAAAGCCAGGAACACAGGGAACAGGAGCAGAATAAGGCTGATGGGTAAATCACAACCAAAACCTACTGGGTACCTCCACAGTGAAGGAGGAATAGAAGTTTTGGCCTTTATGCCACTCATTTAAGGCACATGATGAAGCTGCCACCTCTTGCTCACCAAAGTCGGTCACCACCTGAATGCACACCAGGGTGTTTCTAAGCAGCTGCACCTTCCCCACGTGAAACCAGACAGCACCTCTGCTAACAGCCTGACTCCCCAGAGGGAGAGCTGCTCACAGGGAGCACTGCTCCTCTACAGGAGGCACTCTTTGGGCACTGAGCCCATTACCATTTCCAGCAGAGTCGGCCGGCGCCTCGGCAGCGTCTTCCTGCCCCAGCCCCCAGCCCCTCTGCGGGGACGTGGGTTGGGCTTGGAGCTCCTCAACCTCCTGCCTGCACCTTTGGGCTCCTTCTGATCCAGGTTTGGGCTCTGAGGAAGGCAGGTGGTTGGAGGAGTACTTCTGAGAGCAGGCTGGTTTTCCTCAGCTTTCGTCGCAGCCTTGACAGGGATTTCTTAAAGAAAAAGAACACACTTTCATCTCAGACTTAAAAGCCTCTTTAAGGTGCTTATATCCCCATGCACTGGCAGCTCATTAGTACTATTCTTGCTCATGATGGGAAGATGTTCAAGGGTTTACTTGGAGGAAGGAAGGGTTTGGTTTGGTTTGGGGTTTCTTTTAAAATCCAAAAAAAAAAGTCGTCTCTATAAATATTCACAGAAAGGAAAACAAGATATTGAAATCCTGCAGCACAAAAGGATATCTAGTAAGGAAAAATAGTAAGAAATAGTAAGGAAATAGAGTAAGAAAAAATAGTAGTAAGGGCTGAATGAATTTTCAAACCCTGCTCATGGCAGGGGGGTTGGAACTGGGGGATCCTTGGGGTCCCTTCCAGCCCTGACAGATTCTGATTCTGTTTTAGCAGAGGACTTTAGAGCCCTAATGGCTCAATGGTTGGACTTGATGATCTTGGAGCTCTCTTCCAACCTAAAGGATTCTATGATTCTAACTTTGGGTAGGCCACTGAGGGCAAGTAAGGCACAGCACTACCTGCAAAAGCAAGGAGCAGTTCTATTATCACACACCAATGTGTACACTCAGAGAAGCACCAAATCCAGGTATGAAAGAGTTCAAGTTTTATTGCAACACCCAGCAGCCTTCTGTGGGAAAAGCCGTTAAGGACATGGAAATCAGTTCACAGGGGAAGCATAACAGCTCTTTCCTGGCACTACCCAAAGAGGAGTTGAGGCAAGACTGAAGACAGGCCATTTTTTCCCCAGATAGGAGAAAAAAGGCTTGGAAAATTCAATGATAAAGACACTTTATGTATCCCCTTCAGCCCAGGATATTCTGCTGAGGAAAGACAAGCAGAGTGTAGGAGAAAACACCCAACAAACCCTCTCAGTCTTTCAGGAAACTCTGAGGCTTTCTAAGGTGTGCTGTAGGGCTGGGGTGAGCTGGGGAAAGCATCAGGTGCAGCACAGGCCAAGGGGATACAGCCACTGTTGTGAACCATCTGCCTGCACAAATGCTGCACTCTGTCCAGGTGCTCTCAGAGACAGGCACCCAGCACCATACTGGGAACAAGTAATGGCCCACCCAGTAGCCCCAGTTAGTGATCAAAACTGGGAGGAGGGAGTAATGGGGGTACAAGAAGAGCAGAATAATGGCACATCCTTTTACTCCTCTCCCAGCCTGCCTTCAAGTATGGCTTACACCAGCACTAGCATGCACTGGCACTGAAAATAAACTGGAAAGGATCTGTACACAGAGCAGCCAAAACACCCCTGGATGGCATCTTATACAGGTACACACAGAAGCTTGTTAAAGCCTAAAAAAACCCAACAAGTAAAAGGCAGCTCTGAGTTACAGCACTGGCACACAGGCCAGAGGTCAGAAGACATCTCCAAAGCCAAGTGTTTAGGAGACACAGCCATTGAGCTGCCATCACTTCACCACCCTCACTCTATGTAAGCCACAACTTCCACGTTGCATTTTCTTCTGCAGCATCTTTGATTTCCCTTAAAAGTTAATCCTCAAGAAATTTTAAGTACGATTCAGGTTCTGATTTGTAAACACACAGGGGCTGGACAAAAATCACCCACAGGAGAGGTGAAGCACCCCACCCTTCCCAAAGAAAAGCAGTTTGTGGTCAGGTTGCACCACTGCCTGCAGCCCACAGCAGCAGAGAGACAGAGCAGGGCAGAGGGGAAGGGCAGAGGACGTGCCCCCCACCCACCTTCGGGCTCGCTGTCGGACGCGCTGCCGTAGTTGGCCAACAAGGAACTCAAGGCAGGGGTGACCTGCTTGGGAACAACAGTCAGCCCCATCTTCCCATCTTCAGCTGATGCTTCATCCTTGTCAGATTCTGCAGGGAGAGAAAAGGCAAGAGGGATTTTTCCACCAGCATTCCAGCAGCTGAATCCCCACCTCATGCCCAAGCCTGATGTTGGGCACCACTGCTCAACCCTGTGGACATAAAACCCCATATTTGCCTTCCCTCTACAAATATTCAGTGGCAAAGTCACCTCACCACTGGTTTACAGTCCTGGAAATGTTTCCTCAACAAGAGTTTGGGCTTTCTGGTTCTTTCTTGTGGAAAGAAGACATGCTCACAAAAAAAAACCACCCCAAAACACCACACATAACAAAACACCTGAGGAGCAATGCTTCAGAGAACACACACCCATGGAGAGCATCAAAAGGAAATTAGATAATACAGCAAAAACCAAACAGAATTAAAGAAAAAAATGTTGAGACTTGAAGGAATTCACTGCCACAAGGAAATCCATTTATTTTCATGTCCTAAATATCTGAAGATTCTGCTGTTGTTTTCAAACCCACACAAAGGGCTGTTTAATAGCATTTAAAGAAAGAATTTGATTGTTCAAGTACTTTATTCTTTAAAAAGCTTTTCTTCTTTTACAGGTGAGTTTAGAAACCTGAGCCAGTGCATCTTTAGACTCCTGCACAGGATTTATGGCAGAATGTGTAACATGGAACTCAGGCTTCAAGGCAGCACTTCCAAAACCCTGACTAGCAAGCAAAACTTTCAGCATCTACACTTAAAACAACTCAGATGCTCTTTTTTGTCCTCTCCTTCCTCAAGTTCCTACAGCATCACTTCCCTGAGGCTCAAATCACTTTCCCATTGCTGCCTCTCCCAGCTAAGTGTTCTGGATAAAAAAAAAAGCATTCCTGATCAGGAGATTACAAGTAAAATAAAATTATTAGGGCAAATTACCTGCTAAAACAAAGATAAAATTGATGTGCTCCATTTAATGCCCTGAAATCCTCTTTAGCTTGTTAGCTCAATATTGATTTAGAGCTAGGAATGTATTTCAAAAGATACAAACCTAAGATAAATAAGCATCCAGTGTGGTTATTTTTCAAACCTAAGACACACACATATATCCTGATTCCCAACATCTTCTCCTCTTCAGATTAAGCATTTTTTGACAAGAATAAGATTTAATGCTTCCTAATTCTCACAGAAAAATCAGAAAGACACAGTAGCCTGCTAAGATTTTCCCTGTGTGAATGCTGGTAGAATCTTAAATATTCTTGGGTCTGCCTTTCCAAACAGGAATTTTTCTTCCTTTTCAATGACTTTTGTATTTCAGCTTCTTTCCAAACTGTATCTCAGCCAAGTCTAATGGTTTTAGCTCCTCCTACCAACACGTGCTGAATGAACTCAGTCAGACACATGTATCTCAAAGACCTCCAGACTACTGAGATAGTTTCCCCCATCACAGGCCAAGCCTATTACAACAGAAGCTCCCTGAAATGCCAGATTTACCCCATTTCCTCCAGACAGAGCATTCACCCCACTCTGACAATAACCACAGTGGGAATTTTCTCAGAAGACCACGTCCTGAACCAGGATCTCTCCCTACAGAAGCTTCAGTTTAAAAGGCAGCTCCAGAGTGCAGGATTTGGGCACAGGGATGTTGGGCTATTCCCAAGCTGATGCCCCTGTTGCCACAACACAGCAAATTTTTTGTTAGCAAAAAGAAGGTATGAAAACAGGCTCCCCCATACTCTTCTTCAAGAATCCTGCAAAGCCTTGTGTTAATGGATCCATCTTCTGCCTACAGAGAGAGCTCTCCTATTTTAAATGATTGAAAGGGGGCTAACTGCTCAAGGGCAGGGGGCTAACTGCTCAAGGGCAGGGGGCTAACTGCTCAAGGGCAGGGGGCTAACTGCACAAGGGCAGGGGGCTCACTGCACAAGGGCAGGGGGCTAACTGCTCAAGGGCAGGGGGCTAACTGCACAAGGGCAGGGGGCTAACTGCACAAGGGCAGGGGGCTAACTGCACAAGGGCAGAGTTTACATGTTTCTGGAAGTCTCCAGCTCTCCCCAGAAGTCAGCAGTTCCACTAAAGGTTGGTGATCACTTCAGCAGCATTACCTAGAACAAAAGCTCTCTGAGCTCCCTCATCTTACCAACATCACCATTTGCCAGGAGGCTCAGAGGGTCCACGTCCTTCACATCTGGCTGAGCTGCCTGAGCATGTTCTTTCTCAGGGTCCTTCTCCCACGGGCTGTTTTCTGGTCCACTGGCCTCATTTTGAGTTGTAGGTACATTCTGATCACCACCATTCTCACTGAACTTCTTCCACAGTGGGTGCCTCTGTCTTCTCCTCTGTCTTCCTTGCTGCCAAGGCCTCCCTTCATTCCCTGAAGGTTTCCACATCCCCTTCATTTTGCTGGAGAACAGAAACACAAAGCTCAGGCAAACGACAAGAGTAAAATCATTGGATGGAACCAGACAGCTCAGACCCAAATTTAAGGTTCAGCAACACAGCCTGATGTCAGGACTTACTCCAGCTCAGCTAATAGGTGGTGACAGAGCAGACAGGCACTCACAGCTCACTAGCAGGACAACGTGACAAAGCTGGAACCTGAATGAAGAGTTTTAAGTTCATGATTTATCTTTTCACAAGGCAGAGGGTACATGGGCTAAGTTCCTCAGGGTGAGGATGGGGTTTTCATGTCACGTCATGAAGTCCACAAATATTCCCTTCATTAATTAAGTTAAGCTTAAACTCTTGTGAAAGTCTATAGATAGAAAAATGGGTGTGATTTAGAAGAGCAAATACAGAAGGGACAACCTACACTTCCCCAAAAATACCTGTTTTCACACAATCTAATTCCACTATTTAAAGGGTGGCTACAAAGAAGATGGACACTCAATTTTTACAAGGAGTCCCATGGGGAAGATGAGGGGAATGGGTCCAAGTTACTCCTGGGGAGATTCTGTTTAGACACAAGAGAGAAATTGTTTACAACAAGGACAATCAGCCATTTGAATGATGTCTCCAGAGAAGTGGTGAAACCCCCAACATTGGACACTTTTAAGATTCAAATCTTAAAATTTGAAGAGATTGCTGCCTCCTTTTATCTAGACCATGCTTTTCCCAAGAAAGGCTGCACCAGATGCTCCTTGAGGTCCCTTCCAACCTGATATTCTAAGATTCATTCAGCAAAATAAGACTGCAGCTAAACACTACGACCACAAAAGACACAAGATCTGCTGTTCTGAATGAGCCCCAGGAAGAGTGCAGCTCAGGACTCCCTCCCTCAGCCTCACCCACAGAATGGCAGAGCTCCCAGTCAGCCTTGGAGTCAATGCCATACATGAGCAAGAACTTCTTCCTGAAACTCATCCCTGGCTCTAGAGTCCTGCACCTTCAAGCAGAGCCTCATGGGTGTATTGCTCACCAAGGAACCAGGTTAGAAGCCACTGGAAGATGTGAGGAAAGAAAGCAGAGACTAAAAGCAGGGCAAATGGTCACCTTCCTCCTCACCTCTTTCCCAGGGTGTATCACTGAGACCCTCCCTGACTAGAGATGCTCCCTAGACACTGACAGTTCTGACTCTCCAGCCCTGGGGTGCTGTGTGAAATGTCTGGCACCCCTGAAATCTTGCTTGGGCAGAAACATTCCCATCACCAGCATACCTCTTTCCTATCTTTCCAGCCTAACAAGTCCTTGAGAGCAGAACAGGGACTGCCATAACATCTGAAATGGCTTTATATCACAACAACCCACATTAAATTCTCCATTTTATGACAGTGTTTAATACCAATTGCTCAGCCCCAATAGCATCATCCAGTGGCTCAAGAGGCAAGCCACCACTTTCCTGTGGATCAGCCTCTCATCCACAACAAGAAGTTAATATTAGCCCCCATAATTCAACTCCATCTAACCAGAGAGCTGCATTTCTGAATTTGTACCCCCAGGCTCTAAATTCAGGATGTGGTTGTAAAACCTAGAAGATAATTGAGCAAATATAGGCTCGAATTAGAGGTGTTGTCCTTGATCAAGGGTTAAACAGAACATTCTGGGGCCTCAAACACCTGGAAAGAAACCCCAAGGTCACAAACACATCCCCACAAACGTCACCCTGGCATCTGCCTTCCCCTTGTGAAAGATATTTTACTCTTCACTTTCTGTTCAGAGGGGCTGAAGAGCCACTAATCAGCTGTTGCACGACACCAGCCAGGCCCCTGAAGTGGTCCCTCCACCTCTCTAATCTCACACGCCAGGATGCTGAGAATGAGCTGCTGTAAAACACTCCAGAGAACCACAAATGGGAAGCCCTGGAGAAGTGTTCAGTATCTAATCCTTCCTCAATCTCCCTGAGCTATTTGCTCAAACAGTGCAGCTTGCAGAGAACAAGCTGTATTCTATTTTTGCCCCACGCATCAGTAAATTTGCCAGATAAGCACCAATTCCAGAATCTTTCCTGTTGATACACACAGCAGAAATGACAAATTTTTGGACAGTTCATCAAGTCTACAGTGCTAGCAGCTCAGGGAGGGGATAGGAGAAACAAGGGATTTCTAACATCAACCACAGCTCAAGGGAAAGCAAACAACCTACAACTTTCAGGGTTTTTTTTCCCCAAACAGTTTTCCAGATACAAAGTTCCTACCAAATGTAACAGGGTGGAACTGCTGATGGACATTTGGGTCCTACATAATGCCTCCAAATAAACCTGTAGACACCCAACAGTTTGTTACTGTGACAAGCAAAACTCATCTTCACTCCCAGGACTCTCCAAACACAGCATTACACGTTTGCAGGTTTAGTCCCAGTGCCCAGGCTTGGTTCCTTGGGTCTAAAGCACTTCTGCAACTTGAGATCCTTTGAAGGAAGTTTTACTTCAGCCTTCTGTGAACCTTTCCTTGCAAAGCCATGAGGGGCAACTGGTTGGAGGGGGTGGGTAAGTGTTGGGTCCTTCTGAAGGAAGGTAACTTACACTGTCACCATGTAAGAAATCACACTAGCCTGACACAAACCCTACTCTGCTCTGGTTCAACTGATGGACCCTGGGGGAACTTTCAGTTTGATGTCATCCCCTTTAAAAAGAAACAAAACCAAAACTCAAACCCAACAAGGCAAACTCCAGCTTCACTTCCCTGCAGCAGCAAACAGGATTTAGCAAAAGCCCCTTAAAACTGAGTCTGCTCCTGCCTTCCAGCTCAGTCTAGTTTAAGCCAGTGAAACTCCAGGAGCATAGAATGTTATAACTTTGTTTTTTTTAAGTCTCCCCATAAGCCCTGAGTAGAGTTAATGAATTTAGGTGGCTCAGTGTAACATTGACTGAGGGGAAGAGAAAAGAACAAGGATCACACTGAAAAGTAATTCACAATATCAGGGAGAGAAAAGCAAAGAGTGACCACTAGGATGTGGTTTTCTCAAGCCAGAGTGGAGAATTCAGCAAGAACATTAGATTTCTAACACAATTATTGTTTCATTTAACTCTAGTGGACAACCAAGCCCTGTCAAAAAGAACTTTACAGCTACAGTTGAACAAATGTCCTTCCTCTGTTCAAGGGCAGCTAAATCCTGTGTGCAGGGGAAGCAGCAAGTGCTGGGAGACCACAGTGAGAGTCTTCTCCTGACCTCATCAGGAGGAATAAGAAAGGAACAAGCTTGTTTCAGGGCACTTACCCAAACTGCTGGGTAGTCAGCACTTCTCCCCTTTCCTCCTTCTGCATCTGCATTGCCTTCTTCCTCTCGATGTTTGCCAAGGTGGGGAAATTCCTAGAGGAAAAAGAATCCACCAGCTCTTCAATATTCACCTTGCAGTTTATCACACCAGCATCCTCTGTATTTATTGAGGACCCTCTGTTGATAATCCTAGAGGTCCTTTCCAACCACCCATTCTATCATTCTGCAAAAGCAACTGACTTTTAAAGCCTTTCAGGGAAGCTGGACAGGCTATTTCCTTCTTAAAAAGGCACTGGTGAGGAAAAGAAACTGGAGTGCATTTAAGGTTACATACTCAGATTAAATAAACAAATAGATAAGTCTACCAAATTGGCATGATTACATTTACCAAGCCCCACACAAGCAGCTCAGTTATGCTCATGGACACCCTGCCTGCCCCTGCACAGAACAGCACAATTGAATCCTCCAGTTTTATTTATATGGTGCTTCAGCTGGAGTATCTGAATGATTTTCAGAGCTACAACATTCCTTGAGGAAACCAACCCCTGGAGTTCTTGCAATATATTAAAAAAAGTTTTAAGAACAGCTTCTGGGTGAATTCACAAGATTCCTTTAAGGTAGAAGTTAGGGAAAAGCAACCTGGTTCCTCCTTGAGCAGTATTCAGTGTGGTGCTTGCACTCTAGTTCTCCAAAACTGCCCCTTTTGAATTCCAGCTTGAACTAAAACTGTGAAGTCATGCAGATCAAACCCAATCTACTGTGACAACCCCCTCCCAAACCACCCCTCTCTACTCCATTCCCCACCTCCCTCCCCATCCTTCCCCAGGGATGAAGGCCACGCTGGTTCTGAGGTGCAAAGCCTGCTGCAAATGAGCAGCAAAGCCCCAAAAAAGGCTACACTCATTGCCCTCTAAACAGTATGGAGCTAAATCCCAGGGCTTGGAGGTAAAGATGGTAAATGAGAAACACACGGGCACCCCCAGCAGCTTCTGGAGAAAAATGCAAAGTATAAATATTTGATAAGTCTATTAAAATGGAGTAATGAGGAACTTAAAAGAGCCAGCTCACTATATATAGCTGCCAAAAAGGACACTCAGCTTGCTTTAAATATTTAACCTTAACATTCGTGCTGTAAAATGGGAAAGATGCATGTGGGAAGTGCCACAAGGGAAAAAGATGAGAAGTATTTCCTGGGAGACACACCTCAACACACTGCAGAAGGTGTAGAGGGTTTAAGAGGGTTTGAATGTGAGCTGTCAACATCCATCTCCATTGGTTTTCTCCCAGAAATCCACCAGACAGCTCAAGCAAGCAGAGGGATGTGATGTTTCATCTCCACTCCTTCCTCTCAGCTACATTTATTCACATGAGTAAGGCTCACAGAAGGAAAGAATGCCATAAAATAAGTAGTTATACTCAAAAGCCCCACACTTGTCTTAGAAATAGTCTTTTTTTTTAAAAAGAGCTAAGGGAAGACCCTTCACCCTGGAGCAAAGGGGTCTTCCAAGTGCTCCTGTAGCTGTGCTGATGAAGGACATATTCAGACACACTCTCCCACTTCCACTCCTTCCACCAGCCACCCTAATGGACTCCATGAGGGATTTAGGGTCAATTCCTTGCCAAGACAGATTTCTCCTAAACCACTCTTCCAGTTGACACAGGCAGTAACTAGAGCTAAAGCCAGCTCAAAACCCAGGTCCAAGTATGCTTGCAAAAGCACAGCTGAGGACACCTGCAGTGGCTGCATTTATCTTCTCCAGCTCTCCTTAAACATTAAACAGCACTTAACTTGCTGCCTTTACCTGGGTCAGACAAGGTACCTGTGTTGACAGGGCACATGCAGTGCTTGATTTCATAGAATCACAGAACCCTTTAGGT